GTTTATCCATGACCCCTTTTTGTCAATTAACAATGTTGTTTATCATAAGTGTCGTAATCTTGATTATAATCAAACTTCGTTTTCCTTCGAACACATCGATTGCTAATAGATAGATAGTTTGGTAGATCTAGACTGTGTGATATAGTGGCAAGTTTTTAAATTAATCACCGATTGTATTTTAATAACAGAGCAGAGAATAATAATTTGTGTTGTCTTATTTTGTTCAACAGTAACTGAACCAGCCTGTTTGATAAAAATGAGACAATTATTTAAAGCTCTAAATACAATGTGGTAATGAACATTTGTATATAGTTTGATTTGTTTTTAATATGTTATTTTAAAACAAGTGTACTATGTGCTTTTTGTTTATTGGTGAAATTTATAGCCAACAATTCATAAAGCACCTACTGTAAAGAATCTGGCCCATAAAAACCTGACAATTATAATGATTCTTCTTGCACCTTTTTTTTTTTAATTTATTTTACTGTCTCAACCTTTGTCTAGTTAAAGGTTTTTATGGTGTGTGTATATATATATATATATATATATATATATATGAGAATTTCACACAGTAATCCATTCATAACTCGGAATTTGATATATCTCTGCATCCCTGAAAAATATTCAGGCTTTCTAACTATGCGAGAAGAGTCCTTACAAGTTGTCCCAAGCAACTGGAGGCAGTTGAGTGGTTGCCTGATTTGGAACAGCACTGTGCAACTTTGAGAGATATCAGGGCAGATGTCATCAAGCGTCAGCACAGCAATTACAAACAGGGGAAAATATCTGACTTTTTTAAAACCCACATTAAATCTTCCTTCCACCAGCAGTGAAGCCTCCATAGGTCTGCTTGTAACATCCGGATACTCTTCTTCACACACCAATTCCAGCAGTGCCAGCTTCCTTCGCATTACCCCCACACCAGTTGATGCCTTCAGACAGTGAATAATTTATTTAAATAAATAAAATAATTGTTAATTTCTAAGTTAATACTTTAGTGTATTCAAATAATCTTTAGTTTTTAAGTGAATGATTTATTGTTTAAGTGACCATTCAAAATGTATTTACCAAAGTGCATTAATCCCTCCTACAATCACCTCTTTTATCTACCCCATGGCACCATAAGCTTGAATCATGATCTTTCTTGGCCTGCAGTGCAGTTAATTTTTAATGTTTTTTTTAAATTTAATTTAATTTCAAACAACAGTAGTGTATAGTAGTTTATTTGGGCCAAATAAGTTGTGATTTGGGGGTGGGAGGAAATTACCTCAATAACTCGGCATGGCCTTAGCCCCACGTGTTCCAAGTTATCGATGGATTATTGTATTTTGAAATTCTAGTCACCAAAATTTGTAAATAAAGGATTAATTTCCTAACAAGAATTTTATTGGTCATGTTTTCATTTATGGGTTATATTGAAATTGATATGTGTTACTCATTTTACATCATGGTGTGTGTTAGTTGATAAGTTTACAGGTGATCATAATGTTTAGTATATTGTGTTCTGTGATTTTTATGTAATTTTACCAGAGTGAGTTATAATATTTTAATTGGTGTTAAATCTATTTCATACCTCATTAATTCTTAAATTTTTGTATGAGTTTTAATTTTGAATCACACTCATTCCAGTTAAGATAATGAGCAAAATTTCACTGATTTTGCATTTTGTCCTTCTTGATCTTATGCTTGGAGGATACCCTGTAATTGTGACATGGAGCAGATATTTCTGAATTTTTTGCTCCTTCTAGTGATTAGTCAAATTCAAAGAGAATGTGTATTATGAAAGCTGTTCTGCCACTTTTAAAAGATTGATCTCTAGTCCTGGGAGACTCGAGACTTAATATAGGGCTTATTTTCATTAATTACAGTTCTTCAGCTAATGATGTGTGTGCGGTTTACTTTTGTTCATTAGTTTCATTCGGAAATAGCTCACTTTCCAACTAAATTTATTGTTACTTCAACAATCTGCAATAATCCTTCTACTGGTCAATAATTTTTTTTTATATACTTCAGCCTCATTCCTGCTTCTTAAAATTTATTTCTATTTTGAATTCAATATGATGTCTCTTTTATTCCACCTCCATTTTTTTGTAATGAAATTAGGGAATTGTGCACAATTATAACCTTGAATTACCAAAACACTAAAGAACAAAGGTTTATTTAATGGTAAATAAATATTTGCTCTTGTTTTTTCTGTCGTAGACCATAATTGAAAAGGTTTTTAGAACATTTATCAAGATGTTAAGTAGAGGATGAAACAAAAAAAACAATTTTTTTATCCTGTCTTTCATGAAATATTTATTTTTTTCCCTTGTAGATCAGAGCAAGCTCCTGGTCTTAGTGAAAGAGATTTGGTTGATGATGAAAGTTGGTTTATTAAGTAAGTTACTCAAGCTAAATAAATCTCTGATTGCACATTTTTTGTATGCTTAAATTTATACTTACAGCACCTGTTTGTTAATAAAACAGATTTACTTTTTTTGGCTTCTACATAATGCAATGAACACAGACAGAAGTTTCCTCAGTGGCAAGTCTGAAGACATTCTAAAAATCAGGTTTCTCTGGCACAGCACAGACAGCCTATTGTAGAGCTTTGTGCTTAACAAACACACAGAGGAAATTTCTATTTTTGTTTCAAAACTCCTGCAACAACTTACAAAAGTAAAACAAAAAATTAAGTGTGGATTAATGTGAAAAGTGTCTCTCATACATTGGTTATAAAGACCAGCTATAAAAAATGTAGATGATTTTGTTATATAATAAATACAAACATTATGAAATTGTGCAAGTAGACATGGTTAAGTTACTTTTGGTGTATAGCTGTAAGTGATGCAATATATTAGGAAGAACATGAATCCACTGATTAATTGTAATTTCCATTAATACTTAAGGCTGTTTCTGAAAATTAGTTAAAAAGTTGAAACTATGTTCTAATGCTAATGGTTATATTTTTTCCAATTTTTACTGTTTTATTCTATACTTGTACTTTATAAGTAATCTGTCTAATAATGTTGCACCAACAAATACTTATGTACATATGTGGGATTAAATTGTATGTTTCATTATTCAGCTGTATAACACTAAACCTTACACACAATACACATTTAAAAGTTATTGTTATTTTCACAAAAACTGAACTTTTTTCTTGACATGTGACTTGGTTTTACCCCTTCTTGTCTTGCTTGTTTTAATGTGTTATTATATAAATATTATACAACACATTAATTTTAACATTAAGTAAAAGCAGCAAGCTCAAAACCAAAGTGTCACACAAAGGACAGAAGAAAGTTAGGGTACAAACTACATGTGTAAAGGGTAAAATTAACTTAGTATTTGTAGAAGTAGGGTTACACTGCCTTCTCAAATTTTTAACCTCGTACATGAAAAAAGATATAAAAGCAGTTATGATTGCTAATGATCACAACATCCCACAGTTCAAAAGTGACATTCAATATCTGTAGCCAGTTGGAGATAGATGGTTATTTCTAACAAAAAATAAAGCAAGTCACTAATTTGATTACCAGTGCTTATAAGTAAAACTCTCCTGAAATTGGTATCCCAGTACCCTAAGATGTCTGTTAAAAATAAAATCTTCCTTCCACATTTGAAAACAAAAACAATAAGAACACACTAGTGAACTATACTGATCATAGTATTTAAAGTATATAAAGAATACTTTGTAACTTCTTATCTTGAAATCATTATAACCAGTGGTATGATTTGTAGTTATTTTCAGATGTTGAATAACAAACTCTTCAACACATTACTGGATGTATCTAAAACACCAGAAAAACAGTGGACAAATCAGCACATGCTTCAGGTAGGGCTTGATCCTGACACTGACCAGTTGTTTGTGATGGAGTTAATTGATACATATGGTATTGATATCATGATGATGGTCAACACCAATTGCTGCCCCGCCTAAGGCATGATGTGGAGAAAGAAATCTTCTCTCGAAATACTGGGTGCTCTCATTCTATTCATTTGGGTAGAGTTTTGGAGTGGTATTACTTACTTCATAATCTAATAGTCAGGCATTAACAACCTGTTCTCTTTGTGGGAAAGAAAAGTTAACATTAACAAATTTTAATTGGTTAGTTATAAAAGATGGTACATTCCAATGATGTGCAGCATGTAAAAAATTCATATTTCAGTTGCAACTTACTACTTTCAGTGGTTTTTATGGTGAGGGATTTAACTTTTACATATTCAAAGCTGTTTTGTTATTTATTATTAATGTGGGGAAAAATGTTTGAAATAATAAACCAAGATATTTGTGAACAGATGTGTTTGCATTGTTGACTTGTGTGTATAATACCTACATATAACTCCTCATGTTTAGTTAAAAGCTTGTTTTTTTTTTTAAGTAGCACAAAGTACAATTAGTAATACCTTCTGTGTGTGTACTGATATTCAGTGCACTAGCTCTGTAACTTAATGATCAGATAATTACATTTTTATAATCTAGTATTCATGAGAAGCTAGCTGCTGCCTTGTAAAATAAGCTCCTCAAAACTTTGATTACTAGACAGAGCTCAAAAGTGAATGTTACTTAAAACTAAGTAAACATAGAAGCCTAAAGATTTCTGAAGGTTAAAAAATGGGAATGGCAGGGTTGATAAGTATTATTTGTTACTTCCTAAAGCAAAGAGCATATAGAGCATCAAAAAACTACTATTAAATATATTAACTTCACTTTGGTTTTTACAATTTTCTCAAACTGAGAAACAACCCTCTTATCTACATTTGAAAGCTGGCACATACTAATGATTATTTTAAGATAATTGAATTTGTGGGAGAGAAGAGTAAATTTTTGAAAGAGAAAAAATTATTTTCTTTCTCAAGTAAGACCATATTCTTAATTTTGATTTCAGCTTTATTACACTTTATATTTTTTGAAACATAAAAGAAAAAGTGTGGGAAACAAGTTACAGTTTTCATTTGAAGATGGTAACTTCATGCTAATACTTCATTTAGAGTGGAAGAACTTAAGAGTTTAGAGATGTCTTGAATTGGTAATGAAGAAAAACTTTAATATAAGTTTAACATAACAGCAAATGTATAAGGTTTTGTCATCAACAGGTACAATATGTAAATATGATTGAGATTGATAAAGTCATGATAAGACTTCAAAACTTATCACTATATCAGTGTGTTTAGTTGTAATATAAGATGATAAAAAGTATCTTGAAATGTTTTATGTGTGTATATGTTTTGATTAAAGAGTTGTTTTTGAAAGTTGACAACATGAATAGCATTTGACTATTACTATGTCTGTCATATCTCAGTGTGCATGAGCAGATGCAGTGTAGTTAACATAATATACATTTTTCGGATTGCTAATGTAATTTTCTTCTGTGATGCTGTGGTTATTTGGCCTGCTCCAGGAATAAAAAGACTAGCCTACCTTTTTACTAGTTTTTCTGAATAATAATAAAGGTAAATAAATACCTGGTGTTACTAATCTTTAACCTAAAAAATCACCTTTAGAAATGACTTAAATAAAATGGATAATAATTACAATTCACTTATTGAATTGTTATACACCATAAAATATGTTTGACCATAAAATTCGTTGATGTAAATTAGCACTTGGACAATACTATGTCTGTTATATCCCAGGTATTAAGTGAAAGCCTTCATGAGCACTAAATAATACAGACATAGTGAACAATATTTTTCTCTACTTTCATTTACAAGTCCTTAGAATTTATCTGAGAACTTTGGGTTAAGTTATACCAGTAAGTTGTTTGTATGTATGTACAATTATTATGCAAAACCTGTAATACTTTGGAAAATAAATACAACTTGTAAGTCAATTGAATTTGAGAAAACTGTTTTGTTGCTGTGCACGTAGTAGAAAATTTCTAGTTGTCTTGCACATCTAATATGAGCATGTAATGTGTCACAACAATAACATGTTTGTATGTGAAACATTAAAGATTAATATCTGGCATTATTAATCTTTAACCTAAAAATCTCATCATTTTTTAAGTAAGTTTCAACTTACTGTAAAACATGTTTAAACTGGTTTAAAGTAACTTCTTTATTAACTTTGCTTTATTTTACATTATTCTCAATGGTTGTGGTATATGTTGAAAAAGATATGCTTGTACGACCAGAGTACACACTTTCTTTACAGGGTTATTAGTTGTAATATACACTACATGGGCTACTAAAGTTAAGATACCTCATCCAAGAGTTCTAATCAGGTGTTCTGATTTTAGAACATATACAGCATAATGTGGTACTCAAATAAATGGTACATAATAGACTATAAAAAATCATTTTTAATCCTTAAGCTGACAAAGTTAAGAAATTACATAAAACCTCTAACTTACATTTTGTAGTTTCAAAACACAATATCAGAATATTAACCTTTGTAAACCGGTTATTTCTTCTGTAAATTTTTCCAACTTGAAATTTTTACACTTTTATTGTGAAAAAAAAAAGTACACCTTTTTTTTTTTACATGGCTGTACCTAGACATAAACATAATAATTACTGTGGTTCAAATAGTAGAGTTTGTCTTAGATTCTAAACATGGCTTAATACACTATAACTTTAAAATAAAAACACAAGTTGTTTGGTCAAGGTTCTTAGGATACTATAATTCTCATTTTATACCCAAATACTTTAGATCAATGTGTTAAGAAAAATGTTTATCAACAAGACAGTTATATTTTATACAGTTTCAAGAGCAATCTGGTAATTTCATACACAACAATTTCTGCACGGAAGATATAGCTTCGTACGATGAAATGAAAACCTACAGTGTTTTATCCACAGGAAGAGGTTAAACTCACCAAACCACCTAAATGTGAGTATTAGAACTGGAACAATGTTAATGGGAAAAAAAGTTGTATATGTTTCAGTATTCATTCTAAAATGGAATGTACAAGGGCATTCTTATGTTTTACTGCTTTTATTTTAGTAGAGAGAAAATATAAATTGAGATACTAACCTGTTACCAATTCAGAAAAAAGGATCTACACTGGTGTTTATAGGAAAAAGCTGTTCTTCAGTGTTAAGTGGCATGTAAGTGAACATTCTATGGAAGCACTAGAATTCTTTCTTTGGTGCCAGCAGGTTAACTAAACCTTTCACCTTGGTTTTTTATTAAAACATGTTTTCTTCAAACCTTCCTAAAATTAAAATACTAATGACAAGCATTTTACATTAAACATAATAAATTGTTCAGCTCATTCTGGAAGTTAAAACTAAATATCAACTTATGTTGGGGGAAAAAAAAAAGAATATGAAGATAAAAGTGAAAAAAAAGCAAATGATCAATAATAAAGTGTAAAAAAAAAGAGTAACATCTGGTTTAATTAAACAGGTTGGAAAGATTGGCTATTATTGCTATGTAGGCTATGAGCTGCCATCCTTAACATCTTTAAGTTACGAATCTGTTTGTGTTGTGGATTGTGCTGGATGAAGGTGCTTAATTTCTGCCCAAGGGTAGACAACACAAGTCCAAAGTGTTCCCTTGTCAAGGGGTTACTAGTGTCCAAGTTCATCAGAGCTTCAGAAATGTAGCTGGAAGTATAAAATAAAGCTATATGTAATGATACTAGCAGATAAAATTAAATTACTAGTACATTAAGATCATCAACAGATTAAAGTTAAAACTATCAGAGTAAGGCTGTAGGATATCTTTGTTATGATTAGTAATCTATACAAGTAAAGAAAAAAACTTTCCAAAAAAAATAAATAAATTTAGGGATGGCTAATATGAATTCTTCTTGATGGAAGTCTCAGTGAGTTCTCCACTCAAATGGGTTCTTCACTCCCACATTTAGAACTTAATTCATGTAAGATTTTGAATGTTTTTAAAAAATGTATCCAGGTTTTGCCCACTTCTGTGCTAGGTTGAGTAAGTGTATCATTATATAATTGCATGTAGAATGCTTCTTTTATCTTTCTTTCCCTTGTATATGTTAATATCCTATTATTTTAGTACTGTAACTATATACTGTATTTTCTTCTCTGGCATAATGGGCTATTGCAGATAGACTGGTATTAATAATTCTTATATATCTGTTATGTTCCATAATTTTAACTTTTGTTGGTTTTTTTGTTTCTCCATTGGGTCTTCAGATGGTTTGATATGTACTAATTATGATTATGTTGAGAACTTTATATTGTTTACATATTCTCTGTATGTTTCTGGAGAACCTCTTAAACATACGGGAATATGACTAGTTATTCTTGGTGTTTACCTTCATCAAGTGTTCTGGGTATCCATTGTTATGGATTGTTTTAGTGATTTCTTTTTAATCAATCTTCTTCAGTATTACAAATTTTGGTCCTTCTGTAATCTAGGCAGTCTACAACACCAGTCTTTTTACTATATTTTGGGGTGGTTGGATTTATAGTTGAGGTATTTACTCATATGTTTAGGTTTCCTGTAAACTTCTATGATTTATGGGTCATATGTCTTGGCAACCATCATGTCTAGAATGGAAGTTTATCTTTTTCTACTTCCATTGTAAACTATATTGCAAGATGTATGTTCAGGTCATTCATGAATTATTGAATCTTGTCATTAGTGTATGACCGTATTACAAGTGTATCATCAACATATATGAGCCAAATCTTGGGTTACAGAGCAGTAGTTTTGAGGGCATTAATTTCAAAATGTTCCATCTAAAAGTGAGCCCATATCTAGGCCTTCTTGTTTCTTATCTTAAAGTTGAAAGTAGGTTGTGTTGATAAAGAAGGCTACGAGTTCTATTATTATGGAGATTGTCAGTTGGGTGCATTACCTAGCTTAAAGAGTTTATCATTTTCAAGCTGTTGGCAGAATATGTGTAATGTGTCAGGGGTTGGTAGTTAGTGAACAGGTTGGATATGTCAAAGCCAATCATTACGCCTTGTCAGATTATCAATTTCTACACAGTAGGCCACGTTTAACACATGAAGTTATTTTACTTGGTTAAATATGTACAAGACATCTAGCTATGGGACAGCATGGTGATAATCCATAGTTTACCTTGGGTCAGAAAGGTTGCTCTCTGAAAACATACACAGAGGATATATAAATGACAAAGTCAGAAAAGTATTCAAATGTCACAACAAAATACAATTAGTAGTAGTACACACCAAACACGTGTTCTTAACACATGAAGTTATTTTACTTGGTTAAATATCTACAAGACATCTAGCTAAGGGACAGCATGAATGTCATAACAAAATACAATTGGAAGTAGTACACACCAAACCACCTAAGAAGCAAACAGAGAGGGAAAACAACATTCACAGCATTCCTTGTGAATGTGGATTCCAATACTGAAAAGTCAAAAAGACCACTACTATGTTTGTTTTATCCTAGGAGGCCTGATGAGCTATGTATTGAGTGAAATGTTTACAGCAGTTGTGGTGTGGCTGAAACACCATTATATATTCTTCTTTTCGGAAAAACCCTATAAGAGCAAATAAAGAATGTCGTGTTTAAAAATACAATAAGCCTAATGCTATTGTATTATGACAAATATAACTGTTTATAATCACAACTTGCCAGCAAAGATGTTTACACCATAACAACTGTTATTCAACTAAAGTTCTAATGGGGGAGGGAGACACTAGTCAAGTAGATAATGCACCATACTTCCATGTCAAGAAATAACAAATAACCAACACAGAAATAATTCTTCTCTAAAGACAGCAGCTGAAACCTAGGTCAAAAACTAATTAGTAATTACTGTCTAGTTACAAAAATGTAAAAAAAAGTTATTAATTAATAATTAGACTTAGATGGTTGCCTGGGCTACTAACCATGACAACAACTAAACTCAGAGGCACAGATTACCAACAGAATCGATGTCAAACTATTGAGATTAAAGTTACCCACAGACTGAAATAGAGGTAACAAACAGAAAAGAAAGTTATGAAGAGAACTATCAGCACTTTAAGTAGCTACTGCGATAACACTATCTAGTGTTTGTGATTACTCCTGTATTTCTTTGAATGTTTGAATTATTTTGAAACATAATATTTCTATTGAATGTTTAGTTTTGTTTAACAATTGAAAGTTTAAGAAAAGTAAAATTTGACTATAACATATATTTGATATCACAATCACCTTCAGTTTATACAATTTAAAATAACAAAGGAACTCTATTAAATGTCATCACACAAGATATGCAACCTTCTAAACAGATGCAAAGTAAATAACTTCTTATTTAAATACTTTTAACAGGACAATATAAAGTATTATTGAAAGAACTTACTTATATCTTAATTCAGTTTTGGTGGAAAAGTCTTGAGACAACTGATGGATGAGGGAAAGAAGAACTTGCTGTTGAAGTGGACAGGGTGGACCAAACACCTGTGTTGTTGAGACACTCTCACACACTTTCAGCACAATGTTAACATCAGATACACACAATGCCTACAGAAAACAAACATACAAGTTTATATTGAGACTTCATACAAAATATAAATTGGTTATGAAGAAAAATTATACATATCAGTAAGCATAAAAAACTATGTTATAGTTAATAAATTCTTAAAGTAAATGTTTATATTATACATACATGAATATAGAAATCCAGCACAGGAGTTTGTTCAAGAATGCCTAAGTTAATCAGAACAGCTACACATTTCAAAGGAATTAAAATTTTCAACCTGAATGGAATTTCATAGGAACATGGGCTAAATAGCTAGGTGATCCTGAGCTTCTGGTATCGCCATCCCTAAGTTTGAACTACAGACCAGAGGGAAGATGTTCAACTAGCAGCACATTGCAATAAGTGACACAACTAAAACTACAGTGGCATAATTTCTTAAACCTTGGACCCTAAAATCTGCAGCCCAACACACTAAAGATTAGGCCTCACTAACCCAAAATTTCAAAGGAAAGTGTCAATAGAATTTTTTTTTTTATTTTGCACTATTTCTCTAATTTGTATTTTTTATTTCTGTATGTGAATAACAACTTCATTAATTAAGAAGTAATTCAAACAAAAATATTAGCCCGACCTGCTGGAAAGCAGCATTCACTTGACCTTGTCTAAAGAGATGAAGAATTTGCTGTAACTGGGTCTGAGGATCACAGTGAGGAACTGGAGTAATGGCACGAGAACGAAGACTAGAAACTGATGCATCAGGAGATGCCTGATGTTCCTGTAAGGCCAGTCGTACCTCATCCCGAGTGGTTGTTTGTACTCGTCCTATTAGCCCATCTAGAGCTCTGAAAGATAATAAAATGCATGAGGTAACAAAATAACAAAATAGTTGGCTTGGCTAAGAAACTATGAATTTAATGTTATTGTGTAAAATGTTTAAGCTGACAAAATAGAAAAGTTTCTCAACCCTGACACATGTAATAAACATCATCTATGATTGTAGATCACATTAAACGTTTCAAAACAGATGTGGTAATAACCACTACAGGAAAGCTTTTTAAAGCATATATGATGACAATTCAATGGAAGTGCTTTTTTCATCACATTACTCTGTTTAAGATTTCAAATAAAATGTGTATAAAAATTATTTCAGGCCTGTGTTTTGTCTGCCTCTCCCTACCTCTTCTATAATGATCTTGTATACAGATATATCTTGTTTTAAGTAGAAACAAGAATCAGATATCAAAAGTATCTTTATTTTTTACATTCATAATTGCATTGCATAATATATATCAAAAATTACTTGAATCAAACAAGACCAGGGAAGTAAACTTTTTCTTTTACACCAGTGTTTGTTCCTGAACCAAACTGTAAAAAGTTAATATATAATAAAAGTTAAAACTTCATATTAACCAAGAAAATTACTGAGTATATTGTATCCAAAAGATAAATTAAGCACAAATCTATTTTATCTTTACAAAAGCAACAAGAGGTTCCCAAATCAAGTACTTTGAAGGGCAAGTAAGGTTATCTGTTGCATTATATATAAATATAAAATAATGCAAGACAAAATACAATTATCCCATAAAACAGTAGATAGCTTCCTTAACTGAATCATGCTACAAAGTAATACTTATAGTTAATAGTACATAACCATGACTGGAATTATTTGGTTCCAAGTTAATACATTAGAAAAATTCAAAGTATGAAACACACACACTATAGGAGAGTGAAATACACAGTATTTACACACCACATGTATACAAAATATACGCTGTAAAGATACTTTCACATAACTTTTTATCCACTTTTTTTCAATGAACTGTTTCTGAGAAAAGATCCAGATGACAAACATAACAGATGTGTATTACAGCAAGTCTTCTAATAATCCAAGACACTGGAGGTTAAAGACAACTTAAATAATGTACTTTAAGTAAAAGTTCCAGTTATTATCTTTTCAACTGTTTGATAGCTTAACTCACTAGTTGTTTACACTAAATCTGCTGCTGAAACCATATTCACAACAGTTTTAAATGTTTTCCACTGATTGGAAAATGATGTCTATATATATGGCAAGCTATGTTTAAGCTTAAAGTGCATATGTTATAGGTTGCTAGCACTATAGGTCTAAACACTAACAATGCAGCCAAATTTTGTTAAATACCATCACACTGAATGAGCTATATGTAGAATTTTCCTTAAAATCATAAAAAGTTGCATATTCTAAATTAACAAATTTTATTTTTAAAATATATTACAGCTGAATGTTCAGAATACAATAAAGAAAAATATATATACATAAACCATACAATTTCACAAGTAATCCTATGATAAATAAATACGTAGTAGAACTAAGGAATTATCGCACAAATTAGTCTTTGTGTATAACACTCCTCCCAGTTAAAAAAATACTTTTCAAATTTAACAATACAAATAAATAAAAATACATTTATGGTTATTTCAATTGCTACCTTTATATATATACTAATGATGTATATAGACTTCTGGTCTATAATGCTGAATGATTATATAATGACTTTATTAAGCCATATAACATACTAAACTGAAGTAGCCTACATATTTCCAAATCTTTAGAGTTAAACTGAACCTCTTTGGTCCTAAACATAAATTACAACTTTTCAATATTGTTTCTCTATTAATATAAATAAATATACTTGGAATTTTCTTATATGATTATATAATAGCTAGGTGAGGAATCTCAGTGTTGAATTGCTTTTTTTTTTTGTATAATGTTTTACTTCTATGAAGCCTTGAAGAAACTGTAATTCCATGTTTTATCAATGTGAACCCAATCTTAATTTCCTTTTTTTTTTGTCAAGTGTTCAATGTTTCTACACTATTTAACTTATTATTTAAATGTATGTAAATTACTTGTATAAAAACTCAAAAGAATTACCTACAATGATGTTAAAAACTGATATATATATATATATATATAATTACTAATGGTATAATTATTCAGACTATTATTCTCGTCTTTATTATGTGTATGATTATTTTAACAACATTTTGACCAGTGAATTCTCCAGCTGTCATCAAGTGTTATATCAGACATTTTTGAGGAATTATCCAGGTTTCAAACCACTGAACCTATGTTCCCAAATACGGGCACTCTAACCACTTGTCCTCCTGATAGCCAAGTGGTTAGAGTGCCTATATTCAGGATCATAGGTTCGGAAGATCAAATACTGGTAATTCCACAAAAAAGCTTTCTGGTTGTAACGCATACAAAAATGTCTGATATAACACCTGATGACAGCCAGAGAATTCACTGGTCAAAATGTTGTGCAAATAATAATACACATAATAAAGATGACAATAATAGTCCATATAATTATACCATTAGTAATACTAACTCCTCATCTCAATCATTCTGCAAAAACTATACATTATAAAACTTTTTTTTGCAACTTTCTCTTTCAAAAAATATGAATTAGGTAATTCTGTTGTTTTAAAGTACTAGTGTTTTGCAAAAGATGACATTAGTTCTATTCTTGTGAAGTTACAATTCTTCAGTTTTAACATCATTGGTTTGTTTACTGCAATTAAAATTCTGCTGAGGAATCTGTCACTGGTGGTGGGTTCTAGCACATTTGCCACCCAGTTATCAACTGTCTTTTTTTTATATCATAAGAAACAATTTATATGCTGAACTGACTTAGTAAAGTTGTTGTCTTTGCTCATAAATGAGTAAGCTATCTTTTATCAAGTTCTGTTTTAAGATTTTAAAATAATTTGAATGGGTGATCATGTCATACTGTACTAAGGCATACTCCAGCACATTCAATTTAACCAATTTCCTAAAATTTGCATATTGTTTTACATGTGTCTGCAGCCATCTCAAAATTGATTAAATATATAACCTTGTTTACAATGACAAATAAATCGATAAACCATTTTAGTCAGAATAAATGTCAAACAAAAGTCATCATTAATTTAGATATAAAGTGTACCCAAAGCCAAGACAACAATAGGAACTAGCTGCACATAAAAGGAAACCTTAGGTTCAGAATATACAAACACTCCAAAAATGTGAAGAACAAGTTGGACAAATGTGTGAATTACTTACTGGTACAGTACCACCTTATTTACTTATGTACTCAACATTGTATCTAATTTATCTATGTCTCTTTCTATAGTGAATTTAATATAAATTTTGTCTTGTTGATGTATGTGAAAAATTATCAATAATTCAATTTTAGGATTCTTTATATAAACCACATCTTGTAAATAAATGTTTTAGTAGTTAATGTTTATTTTATCCAAAAATACATCCTGTGTATATATGAAAGTGAAAATTCTTGGTATTTATTTTGTCATAAACTACATTTTTTAAATACATGTCAATCTTCATTTCTTTATAGTGTTTTATATATAATGCTTTCCAATACATGTGTTAGAAAATAGTGGTTTTTTTTTACATGCATGCTGATGACTATCATGAAACAAAATTAGAATTGACACTTTTTTTTTTTATAAGTAAAATACACATTTACTAAATATATTTTTTTATACTGATATAAACATAAAATGCAGCAGAAAAAGTATTTATATAAAATAAATCTGATACAAATTTACTGAAAAAATGTGATAATGACAACTTTGAAAAATATCAACTTTCACACTTCCTGTCTTGACTGAAATAATGCCAGTCCTGTAGATGTATGTCTGGACAATAACTTTCCTACTGACTCGTAAATTTCAAAGTCCTCTTTTGAACGGAGTAGGAACAAGTAACAAATTTTGTCAACCCCTGATGGGTGCCATGTCCACCTTCTATTCTTTTGCTTTAGCTTTATAGCATACATGTAGTTGTTACATATACTTGTATATAGTCACTAGAAAGAGTTCATTTTACACTATAAACCAATAATAGTTATTTTGAGATTGGCAAGCAGCTGTCATTATCCTGTAGTATTGTTGCCTGCTTGATCTCCAATAGCATTTACAGTTTTTACTTGGCTAAATATGTAATAGTTAGAGAGACAGTTAAATTGTATTTAGATCTTACTATTATATATTAGTTAACTAAGTATTAGTTATGTTTTAAAATGCATAATTGAAAGGTTTAAACGTTTTTTACATGTACATCATACTTTGTGTCAGCTCTTAAGAATTAAGATCTTGGGCTAGGAGAAGATAATTTTCCCGAGGCTTGTGTATCTCTACTGAAGATACAGTAATTATGCCTTGAGGGAACTGTTCACTTGTGTCGAAATGAGTAATAAAAGGTAAAGGACAGGAAAATAAAACATTAAAAATTAATTTTATGTGAAAAGGAAAAGACCTGAAATTAGGAATATAACCAAAAGAAGATTTTTTAATATATTCTACGACAAATTGAAGTATGTACATTTTTTCTATTTCTTAATTCTAAGCATTTAATAGCACCATATGTTGATAATATCTACAGTTAGTGATATGGTAAAGAAAATGAAAAATAAATATGAACATTTACCTTAAAAAAACTATAAGATGAAGAAAAGTATTTTTATGCTTAAAAGGAAAATCACCTTGCGCTTGAACTATTAAGAGTTTGAGTGCAATTAACTACAACAGTTAAATAATATTTTTAGTAGAAATACTTAATTAAAATAATGCCATTCTTTATGTACAAGATACTTATAATCTTTAACAAAATCTTACCAGTTTTTTGTGAGGATATGTTAAGAAATCTCACAATTACAGTATGTATTGTTGTACAAGTGAAATTCATATATGGCCCCCTGTAAATTGCAGGGGCACTTTGCAAAAGGGTTAAAGTTTCTTTTGGATCATTCACTTTTGGTATCATGTGCAATTTCTTTCAGGTTGAACATACTAT